ACATGATCGATTCCCTTGTTTTTTTTCCAGTCTTTATTGTAAGAGGAACCACAGGAAGCATCTGACTACTCCACCGTCTTGGCCCCACCTCCTTTTGCCCATTTTTTAAGTCAGATTGTTTGTGTTTTTGTGTTTAGTTCTAGGCATTCTTTATCTTTCTGGATATGAAACCCTTAAACAGTGTAGTGATTCCAAGTATGTTCTCACAATCAGTAGTTGTCTTCACTTTCTTGATAGTGCTCATTGATGCACAAAAGATTTCAAGTTTAACCAAGAGAAATTTATCTGTTTCTTATGTTTTTTGTGTCATATCTATGAAGATGTAGAAAAAATAATCTTCCTGAAATATAACCCTGATGTTTACTTCGAAGTGTTTTATGATTTTAGCGCTTGTATTTAGGTCATCAATCCATTTAGAGTTAATTTTTGTATATGGTATAGAGTATGTGTCCAACTTCATGCTTTTCCATGTGGAGATCCAGTTGTCCCAGCATCCTTTGTTGAAGAGACTATTTGAGCATTGAATGGACTTGGCACCATTGTTGAACCAAATTAGGCAGAGATGTATGAATTCATTTCTGGACCTTGAGTTCTATTCCTTTGGTCTCTATGTCCATCCTTATGCCAGTACCAGACTGTTTTGTTTACTGCATGTTTGTAGTGCTGTTTTAAATCTTGAAGTGTGAGCTCTATACTTTGTTCTTCTTTTCCAAGATTGTTTTGTATATTCAGAGCCCTTCGTGTTGGCAATATATAAATTATACATATGTGGTAGATTTTCTTGAGTTCCTGTATGTTTGTTTTTCTCTGTTTTATTTAATTTATAAGTAGTAAGACATGGATCCTGAGATTTAGGAGAAAGAAATAGGAGAGTCTCAGCATCTTGACCCAGAAATGAATATCTCACATCATGACTGATGAAGGAAATTTCTAGAAGGACTAATGATGAACAGAGCTGGGAGATCTGGGACAATTTTTTTGAGGTGTATGTCATGAAATGAAGAGAGGATTTACCCTGAAAAATCAAGATCTTCTGTGGTGAAGAAAAGTGAAGCATGCCCAACTTTGCGCTGGCTGCTGTCAAGGGTACAAGGAAGGTCGAGGAGGTAGAGTGGATGGCTTCAACAAACGGAAGTTTATTTTCTCACAGTCTAACAGGCTAGAGGTCTGAATTCAGGTCATCAGCTCCAGGAAAAAGTTTCTGTCTCTGTCAGCTATGCAGAAAGATCCTTGTCATCAATCCTCCCCTTTTCTAGGAGCTTCTTTGCACAGGAACTTCAGGACCAAAGGACATGATCTGCTCCAGGCTGTGCTTTCTTGGTTGTGTGATTCCCCCATATGTCTCTCCTTGCTTCTCCCTTTTATATCTCAATGGAAATTGACTTAAGACACAACCTGATCTTGTAGATTGAGTCCTGCCTCATTAACATAACTGTTGCTAATCCCAGCTCATTAACATCATAGACAACACCTCATTTACAAAACATAGGAAAATCACATCAGATGACAAAATGTTGAACAGTTACACAATACTGGGAATGATGTACTCACCAAGTTGACACACATTTTGAGGGGACACAATTCAATCCATAACAACCAGGCTCTTCCTATTTCTGAGAAATGTTCAACCAAACACAGGTGCGGATGGCACATAACAGGAAGGTGATGAAGACATCATAGGTAACCTGAACTTCCAAACTGTAAATATGATGGTTCCCTTCATTAACTGAGGGTCCAGTGCTGGCAGGGGCTGGAGCAAATTCACTTCAAGCATGACACCTCTTATATCCCAAACACCCTGAGAGGTGGACAGTGTTACGGCTATTTTCCCACTGAAGACCTTGAAATGTGGAGGAGTTACAGGACTTTTCTAAAGTCGAACACCAGTGAATGGAGGAGCCAGAGCTCTGACCTTCACTCACCACATTGTCTTTCGATGTTTGATGTGTACACTCCCCTAAATACCAGGGATACACTAGGATTGAGGGTTATGCTGAGGAGGACACTGTATGAGATACCTGCATGGCGTTGGTCAGGAACCTTCTGGGACATAGCATTCCTGAAATCCCACAGGTAAATGGGATAAAATCAGAACTTAGAACTTGTAGAAGAAGACATTGGGCTGGGAGGGAACACTGGTGAGTTCCAGGGAGTTTCCAAGTTAGGAATCAGAGCTACTGAGATGAATAGGCTGGAGAGGTCAGGCCGTGGACACCTGGATCTGAGGAGTTAAGCAGAGATTGGAGGGTAAGGACTTGACAAATCTGAGGAAGGAGCAGAGATGTCCTCTCCCCTCATTCTCATCTCTTTGTCTTAATTTTTTAAGCAACATACTCTTAATTGCAGAGGTCTCTATCCAGTTCCCAATTAGGAACTTCCCAACACCCAAAACAACTCTCAGGCACCAAATGCCACACTACAGGAAGACACCCTGCACTGAACATGGGTGCTACGCAAGTGCTGGAGCAGAAGGACAGCTGATGCCTCAGCCCTTCTCAGCCCTTCCTAATCTTCTCACATCTAGCCCTGCATGCTCCAGGCATCCGAGGTCTGCCGTAAACCTCATCACATCTCCGCTTTTCCTGGGCTTTATTCTTGTTGTGTAAGGTAGGTTTCCTCTTGTTTTTAAGGAACTATTATACATGTAAATATAAGACTAAATCCACATTGATTTAACCCTAGAATTTCAGTCATAGGTTGTGAAGGAACGGGAAGGGTACTTATAGGATGCCTCTTGGAAGGTCCCATAGTCACCTGAGGTCAGTTCCCTTCACCACAGTGGGATGGACCTTCGCAATCAGATTGGAAGAGAATCTTTCCTGCACAGAAATAAGGCAAAAGGATTTCAATCCTCCCTGCCTACTTTCATAGCTCGTATACACTCTATTAAAAGGACTTTTCATAAATATATATTCAGCATATTCTATCTCGTTTTGTCCTCATCAGGATTCAGAAATAGCAGACTACAGTTGCTTATTTAATACTTTTCCTGAAAATTATTGATGTCATCTTCTAGAGTCAATGCATAGAAACACAGAGCCGTATCCCCAAGAAGCCAAGCCTTGATCCTGTCAGGTGAAATCAACCACACAGGAAAAGCTGTGGGTGTGCTGAGGATTATTTAAGATCTGTTGTCCAACATCTTTCTAGGAAACAGAAAACAAGCACCTTAGAGAAAAGTGCAGTCTCCAGGTTCAATTATAGAAACATTAGTTAATTGCCAAGTAGGCTGAAAGGCTGAAATGCAAATTTCAGTAATAGATAGAGATATTGATAGGATACCCACAGAAAGCTCCCCAAACCAAGCCAAGGCTTGTGAAAAATGGATGATGAAAGTGATCACTGGTTATTTATCAGTAACCTGTGACACGGTGTCACAGATTGAATTATGTCCCCCCAAAAATGTGTGTATCTACTTGGCTAGGTCATGATTCCCAGTACTGTATGATTGTCTACCATTTTGTTATCTGATGTGATTTCCGTATGTGTTGTAAATGCTATCACTATGATGTAATAAGATGGATTAGAGGCAGTTACACTGATGAGGTCTACAAAATCAGGTAGTGTCTTAAGCCAATCTCTTTTGAGATATAAAAGACAGAAGCTAGCGGAGAGACATGGGGAACTCATACCACCAGGAAAGCAGTGCCGGGAGCAGAGTGCCTCCTTTCGACCTGAATTTCCTGTGCTGAGATGCTCCCAGACCAAGGAAAGACTGATGCATCACAAGGACCTTCCTCCAGAGCCAACAGAGAAAGCCTTCCCCTGGAGCTGATGCCCTGAATTTGGACTCGTAACCTACTAGACTGTGAGAGAATAAACTTCTCTTTGTTAAAGCCCTCCGCTCGTGGTATTTCTGTTAGAGCAGAATGGATAACCAAGACACAGCATAAAGCCACACTGTCCTCAGGAGCATTCTGAGGACGTCAGCTAAAGCTGGAGGAAAGAAGTAGATCGGTCACGTGTGGATCTGGAAAACGGGAGACACCTGTGTCTTTTTCTTCTCATAGCACCACAATGCATCCAGTAGCAGAGGAGAAAAAGAAGAATGAAGCAATGAGAATTTCTTCCAACAAAACTATTTTTACTGCCAATTTACAGAGGACTGTTCTGTAAAGTAAAGCTACTGTTCTTCATTTCCCACCATGTGCACCCTGCCCAGTCTTTGGCCTCCCTCTCCGTCCTCATCGTATCTGTACAACAGCCAAGAAATACCACTGGGATAGGGGAGGAGCATTAGCCTAATGAGTATGGGGAGTAATAATCCAAGTCTATTGAGGGATCCCCAAGTTTAGAGTCTGACACATAGAAGAGGAGAGCTCACTACTGGCTGAAATGCCACTTTTTCCTTTTCCTGTAAGTGGAAGGGTCACGCTTTCTTTTTACAGGTAGTGAGGGTTGGACCTCACCCACAGCCAAGGGTTGCCTCCCAGAGACTCCAAGGTCAGCCCTGAGTAGGGCCTCTTGGCAGCAAGTGATGGGGCTCTAACTTGAGCCGGGATCTTACTTGGCAGCTGTATATCAAGGTTGGCTGAGACTCACTGTCTCAGAAGATAGGGCCTGGGATGCTCACCAGGAGCCCCAAACTCCATGGTGCAGAATGCCGGAGGCAGGCAGAGGACTCTTGGAAAGACCCCAGGGCAGTAGGCTTTGTTGAGATGCCAAGAGGAAAGCAAGGCTGGGAAGTTCCTCCTCTTCCTCCTCTTCTACTTCACTGGACTCTTCTCCTTCACTGGACTCTTCTCCCTTCCCAGGTGTTTCACTAACAGGAGAGGTTTCTAAGAACATTAAGACTTCTCTGGTTCCCAATCTAGGGGAAGTGCGACTAGGAGCCTGTTGAGGAGAAGTTGATAGTTCAGACTTAGGTTTCTGTGACTTTGGACTCCACATAAAGAGAGCAAGTTCTTTTGACTTAGACTGTTTATTGTCTCCTGTACCATACCATCTTTTGGCAGGTCATCTGCATTCAACTTTTTTGTGCTCATTTTCTCACTGATCGCTAGTTGGAGGCCATGGATATCTGTGCTCCCTGTGCCTTCACTGATCTCAGACTCTGTACAAAGTGACTCCGTGGGTTGTTCACTTTAAGTTGGGTGTGCCTCCACACCCACTTTTCCTTTCAATTCCAGAAGTTGCTTGTCTACCAGCTGCAAGGAAGGAAAATGAATAATTACTGATTCTGCACAAGTTGTGAGAACACATGGCTGAGCGGCTGTTGGAGACCATGGTATTGGGTCAGGATTCAGGGAAGTCAGTCACATGAGTGTGGTTCAGTAACCAGTACTGCAGCTCTACCTGTCCATCCTGTTGTGTGGTTTTCCCACCAAGATTCCTTACCGCTCCTCTAGCCACTCCATTGTCTCCTGCCTCCTCGTTTTGTACCTGCTCCTATACCTGGAGCTGTCCTTCCCCAGAAACCGTGCAAGCCAAGGCACTGTTGGGTTAGATGAAATGCTGTGCATTTCATGTTATGATTCTCCCTTCCTCTGGTTTACCTGGGTGGGAGTGAGTCCTTCCTCTTGCTCCAGCTCCTGCCTTAAGGACATGGGATCTACCTGTGATTCTGGTGATAGTAATATTTCCAGGAATTGTGGATAAATAACTGTTTCCACCTGACAAGGGAAAGAGGAGTCGTGTGAACATTCTTGATATGGAGTAACCAGTGCTTTAGGGGATCTAGAAGACAATAAATAATCTCCATCTCGAATTTACATCCAGTGTTGTATTAAAACATCACCACACCAACTTACACCTAGGCAGACACATACACACACACACACACACACACACACACTCGAGAAAAGGACAACACACATGGTTCAGGGGATAAGGAATCAAGGTCTGGGGCCAAACTCCAGGTATTTGGTTGCTGGAATGCCAAAAGTACAGAAGCCACAGACACCAAACCTCAAGTCGCAACCCACCTTTGTAATAAATTCTTCCTGCGAACACAGCTTGTCCGTGTAGTGCAGGATTCCTGGGTCTAGGTATATCCCCGTCTCTTGCTGCTGTTGCTCATTTTCTTCCTCATATTTTTCATTTGGCTCCACAGTGGCTGAATGGGAAGATCCAAGCATAGCTTCCATGTTTTCAGTATACCCTTTCACAGCTTTAGGAGGTATCTCATTGGGTCGCTTAGGCTCCCAAGGGCACTGGGGTCTCTGTTGATGCTTGTTGGGGGACTGTGCCTTGAAACATCCCTTTTTTGGAATGAACACAATAGGAGGGGTTGAAAAGAAGGAGGTGAATGTAACAGCAAATTCCAGCTCTTTCCACCTTTTATGATTTGAATTGTGTTCCCACAAAATGTGTGTTAAGTTGGCTAGACCATGATTTCTAGTATTGTGTGGTTGTCCACCATTTTGAGATCTGAGGTGATTATACTCTGTGTTGTAAATCCTAACCTCTATGACGTTAAGAAGGCAAGATTAGAGGCAGTTGTGTTAATGAGGCAAGACTCAATCTACAGGATTTGATTGTATCTTGAGTAAATCTCTTTTGAGATATAAAAGATAAAAGTGAGCACAGAGGAGAGAAACTTTATGCCACTAAGAAAGAAGCACCCGGAGCGGAGTCCATCATTTGGAGTAGAGGTCCCTGTGCTGAGAAGCTCCTAGCCTAGGGGAAGGTTGATGACAAGGACCTTCCCCCAGAACCAACAGAGAGAAAATGCCTTCCCCGGGAGCTGGTACCCTGAGTTCGGACTTCTAGCCACCTAGACTGTGAGAGAATAAATTTCTGTTTGTTAAAGCCATCCACTTGTGGTATTTCTGTTATAGCAAGCACATGTAGTAAGGGCAGAATTTTGGAGAAATTGAAATGGTTCCTGGTGGGGCGGGTACACCTGAAGCCACAACAACTGTAACAGGAGAAGATATAAGAAGGAGAAGGTCCAAGAGAGTCATCCTGTGAGGAAACTTGGAACTATTACTTTTTCAAGAAGTCCTCTCATTGAGACCCACATTTTAGGCTTATTACATATTGGATTCCACATCTGGTAATGCGTGAGACAGTAGTTATAAAACTTGACCATCTCAGGACTAGTGTGTACTGAAGTGTAGCTGAGACCCAAGGCTTCTGGCAGGCTCTGCTGTTAGAAATAGCCATTGCCTCCTCTTGAAAGTACCACGTGCAAAGATAATGCCTTCTCCAAACATGGCCTGTCTCTACATGCCTCCTTTGACCTTAGCTCCTGTTGAAGTTGATTAGCCATACCTGGGTGCTGGACAGCCACAGCAGATGAAGGCCCATGAGGTCAAGATTCCGTGGAGCTGGAGGAGGTAGACACACAGGCCTGTTCCTCTGCTGCAACTTCTAAATCTGTAACTCCTCCTCTGCCTCAAACTCCATGAACCTGACAAACGTGAGGGAGGCACAGGCCATGCTGAGAAGAAGGCAAAGTGCGCTAGGAGCCCCAGCATCAGCCAACAGCCTCTTGTAGGGCATCGGAGAAAGATATACCTTCAATGCTCTGTCAAGGTGCTGTGTAAGTCCATTTCCCAGGAGGGATTTGCTCTCTGTGGCACAAGCACATCATCCCTTCACCTGCAGCACAACTCATCATAACTTAGGAAGGTTGTGAAGGAAATCAGCCATGGCTTCTTGGAAGCTCCTCCTAACAGAGCCATAGTGCTCACTTCTTTTCCACACCCTTAGCACGTGATGGCACACCACAACACTGACACTGGCCTGTTGATTTAATCAGACCTATGTGACACACAACAGGACCCCTCTCATGGACACCCTACTCCAAGCGTCTCCTGCCCATGCCTAAAACACACAGTAGAGCTGACAGCCTGAACCAGGGATAGGATGAAGTTGATTGCAGGTAACGCCAGAGACTAGATCCTAGATCCCCATTCCTAGTCTCAGGCTTTGAGCCCTCGAGCTATTAACAAGTGAGAACAATTAGTCTAAGAGATATTGGGGAAAAGGTGGAATCTAAGGTTTCAGGAAAATTTCAGACTCCTCTGATGATTGTTTTTAAACCAAGGCAGGAAAGGCAATGAGGGTCATAGACACGTCCGTAGGGTGACTTGAGATGCTGCCTTCCCCTGAACAAAAGTTTTCAGCCTGGGCCATTCTTGGATGGTTGTAGAACAATTTTGTGCCAGTTATCATGAGGAGGGGTGGTCCCAAATTCCCTGTCAGCTACCCAGACACTGAAGCAAGCTGGAACTTGGCTGATATAGCATATTCCCTCATTGCAGAGTGTCTACAGCTTGAAATTTATCTCCATTGGTAGCCACAGTGTTTATCCCTATTTGATCTTAAGACTCTCAATATCGAGGCATCCACAATTGCAAAATGTAGAAGGGGCGAATTTCTTGAAGAATGTAGAACAGAAAACTCCAAGCAGTGAATGTAGTGGCAGAAATTGTCTGAGGTTACAGAGGGATTATCAGGGAAGCAGGAGCTCTGTCCACGTGCACACCTCCTCCTCACAGAGCGCTTCTTATATTAGCTCATATCATCTTCTTAGCTATCCTCTGAATTAATTGTCTTTGTCTCCTTACATGATGAGATACTCGAGGGTGAAGATGTACAAAGTCCTACTCAGGACTAAAAATCTAGTGAGGGCAGAGCCCAAGCCCTTCACCACTATGCTCCCTCTCTATCTATGCTTCACTCTACCATCTCCCTGTTCTAACTGGAATTCTCCAGAGAAATGAGAGTGAGAATATATTTAAAATGGTTGTCCTAAGCCTTGCCCTTTTTCCCACTCCTCTGGATTTGATAGGGCACTGACCAACACATGGTCAGCTCCTATGTTGGAAGGTAAAGACCAATGGAGGAACATGGTGTTTGTAGTCTGAGACCATAATTCACATCATGGCTCCACACTTTACCATAGTGTTTAGTCTCCTGTACATAATTATTAAGGTAATGATTCCAGTATAAAGACTGCTTCATATACAAGGTGGTCAGCATCAAATGAGATAAGGCACATCAAAATGTTGTACGCGGGGAAGTGTGGTCAATATTATTGAGAACGTGTCTTCTCATAACATATCCTATCACCCTCATGACCTTCTTTCAAGTGTTCCTAAAGAGGCCTAACCTTCATTGTGTCTCCCCAAGATCTCTTTATTTGAAAGCCGCAGGATAATCTCAGGTGGCCTCACTGACTACGATACTCACATGAGAAAGCAGGAAAGAGCTTCTGTATCAGGACTTTGGGGATGGATCCTCCAGGCCAGGGACTTGAAGCATTGCCAGCATAGGTAGTTCTCGTAAACACTCTTGAGGTTACAGGAGGAGTCATCAGCGATGGCTTGGATTGTGTGGTGGCTAGGATTTCCTCCCTAGAAGAAGCATGTTGGCCTGACCAAGCCTTCACTTGGGGGAAAATGGAGGCCAGCCTTACTCATGATCCTCTTTCCTGGAAAGCCCCACTGCATCAAAGGAAGGCCAGTAGCCTCTAATTCCATGAGCAGTAGTAGTTTCCTGTTGCTTCTCAGACTATTATGTTGTACATTCATATTTAAGTTTTTATTTCTGACAATGATTTTGATTCAATAATCAAACAAACATATTTCTTCATAGTTCAAAAGTCGAACAGTTCCAGATGGATTCTACACTGACAACTCCTCCGCCTGCACCTTTGTCTTGGCAACCAAATTCTCCATCTCAGTGGAAGCGGATGATGTTTTCTGTTTCTTTTTCCTTTTTCCAAAAATATTGTCTGTGACTGAAGGTAACTAACACAAGCTATGTTCATTTATCAAAAATACTTTGTTTCCTTTTTTCTCATTATACAATTAAGGTGCGTTCATATATATAGATTTTTTTTTTTTTTTATTAAAATCAATGCAGTCTTGTTTCTTAATGTGTTTTTTCTTTTTGTTTCTGGGATCAGTGACTCTATTTGTATTGTTCTGGTCTAGATTCTACAATGAGAACTTTAACATTCTCTTAAACTTCATAGTCACCACAAGAATAGGTTTGCCAGATTAAGTAAATAAAATACAAGACTCCAAGGAATCCTCGTGTAATATTGGGGACATACTTACAACAACACTGCACCACCAGGGCTCCACAATAATATTAGTCCTTGTTTGTCAGAAATTTGACAAGTGGCCAGTATTTTATCTGGAAGACCTACAAGAGGTGAAAAAAAAAAAACTTAAAGCTACTATGACTTTACTCATCCTCATAAGAAAAGAATTAAATTTGCAGTCAGAAGACCAGAGTTGGAATCTTGGTTCCATAAACTTAAAACACAGCACCCAAACCAAACCAGCACACCAATTTCACAAAATTGTCACAGGTCATTTTGATTATGTAGATATTGAGTAGTCATCAAACACTCTTGAGCTCCTAGGCATAGTGGGCATGGGAGCAGATGTAAGGGCAAGGAAAAGAAAATCTTTTTCTCTGAAGCTAAATTGATATCCTATGCTATAGCCCTGGACTCTTCAGGTGTTAGATAGAGCCCCATGGCCCTGAAATGTGTGGATATCTTGAGACCAAAACAGGATTCTACTCACCAAAGTCAAATCACACACACTTGCTCTTTGGAATCCAGGCTTATCAAGGTATGTGCTCATATATTTCTGGGAGACATGGTAGTATGTTCATTAAATAAACTATAGTAGACTTCTTTCATCATGAATGTAACTTTCAGTCTGTTAAAGTCAAAATGAGTTGAAAGAGCACTCATTTTGTTGTTGTTTGAAGAAGAGAGGCTTGGTAGGACAGTGGGTCATGGGAGATGAAGGGTACTGACCCCAAGTGGTTGAAATAAGCCAAGAAAGGTGACACCAGCTTGAATCCAGCTATCACAGCAGTCAAGGTCTTCAGATGGGAGGGTGTAGGGGAAGGAGAGAGAGGTTGAGGAGGAGTGTTCCACACAGAGAGTCTTCACTCAGAAAATTTCCCTGATGGAACTAACATAGTTTCTTGTTACTGGGGAAGGTATTTTGACTCAAGAGGGAACTGTTGTAGAAAATGCAACAGTAATCGTACTGTAGTGGAAAAGCAGAAAATTGGAAGTCCAGAAGAGATGAGATTCTTCTTCCCTCTTTGCTAAAATTATGTGAGAAAATCATTTCTTAATGTGGTCCTCATGAACTCCCTCATGATTTCTATGTTTTGTTTGAATATAAACCTGATAGGACCCGATGAATATTTCTGTCTTCAGCATCCACAGTGTTTGCCCAACCACTGTGAAAAGAATGCCTCCATGCAGCTTCTGCCTCTCTGGAAATTGCCCACACCTTAATTCTCTGCAACCAGGAAGTAGCTTCTTGCATGTGCCTGTCTTTGTATTTTCTCTGGCAGCTACAATGTACATCTCTACTCTCGTCTTAGTTTAGATGATGAAGTTAGAGAGATTAAAAACAAATCACCCTAATATTTTTTAAAGCTACTTATGGTGATTGATAAAGGCAAAGTTTTGGTAACTTTTCTTAGGACTTGGGCTTCTATCATGGAGCAACCTTAAATGATTTTCTATCCAGTCCTTCCTATTCCAGGGATGGTGGGGCAAATCATTGCATCTAGGCACTGAAGAAAAGCAGGCTTGCTCCTTGATTCTTCTGCTTGTCAGTTAATCCATCAATTTTTTCCCATGATGCACACTTATGGGTTTATAGCCATTCGATTTGACTGAGTGAGCTCAGGGCCAATGATTTAAACACTGCATTGTGGAGAAACAGTCATGTCCAAATTCTGCAATTTGTTTTTCTGCTGCATGAGAACCTTCAGCCCTGGAAGCATATGTGATTAAATTAGCCCATATGAAATTTACTAAGATTGGCCAGAAAACACGAGGTCAAAAGTCCTTTGGAGCTGGCTCTCTAATTATCCCTGTGGAAGAGTCTAAGGCAGGCAATGACCACTGATAAAAATCATCTCTGTTCTTGGGTCACAGGATGCAGAAGACAGATGATCTTCCACCCAATCTCAGAGCATTGGAGAAAATGACAAGATGTGTAGAGTCTTATTCAGCTACTGTGATTTCTCTCTCAGCCTGCGCATTTGGAGGCTCCATGTGTTGTCCCTGTAGGGTCATCCAAGGGAGTCATCCAAAGCACTGAAAAATAATACAGATCTTACAATTTCCAGATAAAGGGTAGCTGATTATTGAAATTTTTCAAAAAGAAAAAACAAAAACCCCTAAGACCAATACACTGATGCAATTCTGGTACTGATTTTTTAAGAACTAACTGACATTATGAATTTATATTACAAAACAAAAGGAATAATTTTGTTCCTACACTACCTGCTGTGTAGACAGGAAGGAAATAACACTGCTGGAGAAAAAGTAAACTCAAGTACATATATTGAGGACCTTTTTCTTAAGACATCTCTTACCGTGGATTCCTAGCAGATTTGTAGAGCCAGGGGACAAAGTATGAAGTAATGCGTGTAGAAATGCAC